TGTAGTAGTAACGTACGTACGTACGCCACCAACTGTAGTATGACATATAAGGAAATATATATGCATACTTTTCACGAGTTCCTCATCTTTCTGACTGTGTAAATGTCGTGCATTGAATTTTAACAGAAATGCGAACGAGAGACGTTATTATCTTTGACCCATCAAATGAATGCGGTCATTTATTTTCAGAATCAAAGTTTAACATCAAACATTTACATTAATTTGGCAAAATATGAAAATAATAACAGACAAGTTTCACAAATAATGAGCTTCAATCACGCGGCGGTGATTGAGGACTTTGCTTCAGATATTTCTAAATATCTGTACTGATTTTAGGAGAAAGCAGAGTTTAAGATGAAATGGAGATTTATCTTACAGAGAGATATGTGAGGGAATTAATCTGTTATGACCAGAACGTGCACGCTCCATCGGATCTCAGCTTGCGACGGTACGCTCGGTTGAAGTAGATCGTTACCTGGTTGACGATGAAATCAGCTCGGTATAGAATCCTTCAGACTCTTTCAGCGTCTCCGTTGAGCAGCTGAAATCCTTCGAGAGTCGTGCGTGGTGTTCAAACAGAAATTATAATCCCAACATCGTCACTGCGTTCTGTATTCCAACGGAAGCACTCTGGGCTTCAGACATCAGACTTTCTCCATCGGACATCAGAGTTTTCAGACTCTAGAACTTCTTCAGAACCTCCATCACTCTGAGACTCTTGGACTCTATCACTCCCAGACTCTTGCAACTCAGCTTCTAGCAACTCCTTCATGAACTGGGAAGTTGCCACATTTTAAATGGGTCGACTTCCGGGTCATTTGAGAGCTTTTGATTGGTCGATGGACCAGGAATAGAGGTGTGGTGTATGATGTAAGATGTTATCATAAGTCGAGGTCAGAGGATGAGATTGTTCAACAACTAACAGAAAGATAATTGCAGAAACAGCAGACTTCGTGGAGTCTCTACTCTGATTATCTTCTCAAATAGTTAAACATGACATTTTCTTCTCAGTAAACATTTTAGTTGACCAAGACTCGACCTTTCACATACTTACAAAACTTGGCTCATTTCAGACAGAAAATCAAGAAATGCATATTACCCTGATTTCTTCTTTGAATGAGGAATAAAAATCATTACTTACTGTTTATGTAAAATAAAAATGAGTAGTTCTCTTCAACCTGTAAACATTGAGTGAACTAACACAATTTGATTATCAAACATTTGTAAAATAGTAATGATTATAAAAAGAGAGTGTTCTTTTCACTTGAATCTTCAAGAAAGAAAGTCACCAGATGGCTCAAACTGTATTCAGATCAATGAAATAACAGTCTCTGTCCATCTGATAGATTTGAGGTCATCAGGGTCAGATCAGGTTCACTACA